GACGTTTTCAGCCCCTGTTGATCACCAGTTTCTCTAACACTCGCATACTTATTTTCTGCATGTTTATCTTTGCAAAATGGCACGTGTAGCTTCACAGTTTTTAACTTTATATGTGTGGAAGTGTCTTAGTTAGGGCTTCTATTGCCGTGAAGAGACACCATGTCTATGGCAACTCTTATAGGAAAGCATTTAATTGTGGTGTCTTGCTTACAGTTTCAGAGGTTCAACCCATTTTTATCATGGTAGGCAGCATAGCAGCATGCAGGCAGGCGGCCGGCGCTGGAGCTGAGAGTGCTAAGTCACCACTCAGAGACAAGAGGAAGTCGCCTGACTGTCACGCTGAGGGAAGCTTGGGAAAAGACCTCAAAGCCCGCCCCCACAGCGACACACTTCCTCCCTCCCACAAGGTCCTCCAAATGCCCCAAAGGCCCTTTGGGGCCATTTTCTTTAAAACCACCGTAGGAAGTATGGCCGTGAGGTGGACAGAGCTGTGTTCACTACTGTCCCAGCTACTGGTACCTCACTCTAGCCTGTGAGTTCAGGATCAGCCTGGGAAATACAGGAAACAAAAAAGAAAATTGTCCAAAACATAAAAATATAAACATGTATATTTTATATCCCCAAATCAATTGTTTTCATGTCACATTTTTAAAATGAGAGAGATGCGTATGCAGCGTCTATGTAATCGCTGTCACTGTAGCTTTCCCAAAATCTCCATCGCCTGCCACACAAATGACACTGACAGGAATTTTACTTCAGCCAGAAATGCACAAGACAAGAAAGAAAGAAAAAGAGAGAGAGAGAGAGAGAGAGAGAGAGAGAGAGCAATAAAATACTAGAAGGCAGACAGAGTCATTGGAAATGGCTTAACAAAGCTTTGAAAAAACTCCAGACACTGGATGACCTGGGCCATGGATTCCCCAGAATGACTCACCAGTAAAACACCCTGGACACCTCTGCGGGTGAGGGGCACCTCTGCAGGTGAGACCCAGTACAGGCAGAAGTAAAGCAGCTCAAGCAGCAGAAACCAGCTCCCCCCTGAAAGGGAGAACCCAGACACAAAGGTCGAGGCCCTTGACCCCACAGGATCAAGGACATACTGTCAAGATCGAGGACACCGGATACAGCTGTGATTGGGAAGTGTTTAATATGTTCTGATCAACCCAATGTCAATGACAAATTTTGATATCATGACTGCTATCAACCAGCGTTAGCTCCTAGCCAGTGGACTAAGCATTTTTCATAGTTATTGTTAGGAATTCTTCCTAACGCGAGTTTTCTGTCAATGCCAAAATCCCAATCAAGCCCAATCACAATAAGCCAAATTAAAAGATATACATGTTTAATGGGATTCCTGTACTCTCAGGTGGCCCGAATGCGACTACATGGGGTGGGGACCACGTGTTCCTCTTCTGCGAACTCACTTAAATACTGTGTGGGAGTGGTCCTGATCCCCCCCCAGATCAATACAACTCTCAAACCTGGGGACTGGGTTGGATGCAAGGAGCTGAGGTCTACGCTCCCAACTTAACAGTTATCACACATATAATCTTCAAATAAATTCAAGAAGACTAGTACTATTTTTTTCACTAATACAAAGGCAATAATAATAATAATAATCAAATTTTATATAGTTAAGAATCTGGCCAAAGAGCCCAACACCAATAAGTCTGAACCTGAGCCATTTTATTATACCATTTTCACTAATCATTAATAGTTACAACCTACATGGTTTAAGGCTTGATCTAACTGAGGTGAACTAAGCAACAACATCAAACACACACAAGGAAAAGCTGAGGTCAATCCAATGGGTTGTACACGTGGATGCAAACTTAGCATGTTTCTTAAACACAGAACAAACCAGGAGGAGGTAGTCTCCATAAGGGAGTAATCTCAGGTTGTGTCCATCTCATAGGTGGGGTGGAGGGTGGAGCTGCAGTTAATACTTTTTCCACACACTTTCAACTTCCTTACTGGGACTGAGTGGAGGTCAAAGGCTTTGCCAGCCCCCTGAGTCTGAGACACTGGGATCCTTGACATGGCTGTGCTTGTCTCAGTAACACGCATGCACTCAGGACTTCATTGCCTCCCCATACTTAATTTCTTCATTTAATCATCCAGCCAACATGTACTATAAATCAAATGCTGCCTCGCCATTTGGTTGCACTGGCGAGTTTTCTGTCAAGTGGATGTAGAAAGTCATATGAGAGAAGAGATCCTCAACTGAGAAAATGCCTCCATAAGACCAGGCTGTAAGAAAGTTGTAATGGGAGTTTCCTTCGGACCGGGGCAGGGTCCCGGTGAGGAGGAGCTTGGGTGTTCCCCGACCCCATAGACGCCCAGGTCACCCTGCAGTGCTGGCTACCCCCTCCCGCCTGCCATCCCAGCTTCCATCCAGGTACGAATTCCTATATTTCTCCCTTCCCTCTGGGGCCATAAAATTTCCCCAGCTCAGCTGCCTTGCGAGCTGGGCCTGGGCTGCAGGCGCATCCCGGCTGGAGGCAGTTGCTGGGGCTTAAAGGCCTCCCTGAGGACAGGTGGACCAGGGGCCAGCTCAGCCACATTCCTGACCAGCAGGGGCCCTGACTTCTAGCAGAGGGCCATCGGAGGGGTGAGTTTCCTTCAGGCCGGGGCAGGGTCCCAGTGAGGAGGAGCTTGGGCGTTCCCCGACCCCATAGACGCCCAGGTCGCCCTGCAGTGCTGGTTACCCCCTCCCGCCTGCCATCCCAGCTCCCATCCAGGTACGAATTCCTATATTTCTCCCTTCCCCCTGGGGCCATAAAATTTCCCCAGCTCAGCTGCCTTGTGAGCTGGGCCTGCATTGTAAGCACATCCCGGAAAGAGGGAGTGCCTGTGCTTCAATAGCCTGCCTGAGGAAAGGTGGGCATTCTGTCAGTGAAGTCCCTGCCCAAGAAGGGAACCTGACCCGGTAACAGAAGTTCCAATAGAGAACATTTGAAGTAAGAGATGGGCAGACACCAAGGCAGGACCTCATCCAACAATCTGAAAAACAACATGAAAACACCAGATCCCAAGGACCCTACAATAGAAGGACTTGAACACCTTAACCCAGAAGAAGTGGAAAAAAGTGCCATTATGAAAGCAATAGAGTCCCTTAAACAGGATATGAATAACTCCCTTAAAGAATTGGATGAGAAATATAACAAAAAGTTTGAAGAAATAAGTAAATCCGTGAATGAGACCCTGAGAAACCAAGAAAAAACGAACAAACAAGTAAAGG